TATCTTCCCCTGTCTTTTGGACAGATGCAAAAGATCTAGCAAGAGGATCCAAGATCTGAAGGGTGGAGTCACAAGAAGGAAGAAGACAGGGTTTCTAAGTCATTATTTGGTGGAGAGCCACCTAGGAGAAATGGAAGATCAGAAATACCTCCTTTGGACTGTAGCATAAAAAAACTTTTATTGCATCAAGTTACTATTGATAGTCTCTAAAGGGCAATAATTTGGTTCACCTGGCTAATGCAATAAATCACACTATCATCATTTGATGCCATCTCTAAAATAATCATTCTACCTTAACTTTCTCTTAATTCTTGCTAAGTAAACTTTCTTCCTGGGAACAGATACCTAGTTAGCTGAAATGAGTATTCTGGTTCACTAGCCAGTAAATTTTATCTGTGTAAATTAATAAATTAGCATTCTTAGTTAATCTCTTGTATATTTGGTTTAGGCGAATAAATCTAAGACTTGGTTGACCAGGGCTGAACTGATCAATTGAGCTTTGGAACCAGTAAAATTAAATCATGATTATCCAATCAAAGTTTGAGCATTCCATGAGGCCTAGTTTGAAAAAACGAAGAAAGTTCTTTCTTCTTTGTCATCAAATACAGAAATATATGCTCATCATTATTTTGGTATTCAATATTTAAATATAACTATTATAGATTGTTAGTATATCCTACTTCTATGATAGAAACTGACTAAGCCATCCAAGTACAACCTCAGATCTGGAAGTAAGAGTCATGAAAACAGTAACACAAAGTCTACACCATCTCCAAGGACTTAGAGTCTCCCCCAGCCCTGTGCGCCTACAAATGTCTATTTTTTTTTTTTCTGAGTTGGAGTCTCACTCCGTCGCCCAGACTGGAGTGCAGTGGCTGCTCCCGGCCACCGCAGCCTCTACCTGCTGGGCTCCGGCGATCCTTCTGCCTCCGTCTTCCAAGTAGCTGGAACTACAGGCGCGCACTACCACACCCGGCTCATTTTTTATTTATTGTAGAGATGAGGTCTTGCCAAGTTGCCCAGGCGGGTCTCAAACCCGCAGGCTCAGGCAATCCACTCACCTCAGCCTCCCAAAGGCGCGGGATTACAGGCTGAGCCACCGAGCCCGGCTCAAATGTCTATTTTTAAATATTATGTTTGGGCAAGATTGGTTACCTGATATCGTATGATAACCTTCAATCCTTCTAAACATTAGAAAGCAAAAAGGTGGTATGCTACTAAATGTGGATACAGTTACAATAGTCAAAATAGCAGTTGCTGCTAAGATACACAACTAAAATATACACAGGCAACCCCTAAAAGTACAACAGTCTAAGGAAAACAACCCTTCACTAAGCAAGTACTTCCTAAAGTCTTAGGATGTGCATTGCACCGTGCTGTTAATAGGGTGGACAGGGGACAAAATATGGGTAGTTTGTATTATCAATAAGCTTATAATTTAGTTGAAAAAGAAAAGAGACAGTGTGTGAAGTTTATCAACTATTTTATTTTAAATAGAAGGTAATATTAGACATAAGTACTGATGAAATCAACAGCTTAAAATATACTATAGAGAGTGAGAGAAAAGATTATTCAGGGTAGGTTGAATTAGACAGAAAAGGATTTATGATAAAGGTCTTCTACTTTTGTTAGAAAGTACATGTTTAATGTTTGTTGTAATGCATAAAATATCATGTACAATACAAATGTAAATAAAAGACCTTGGGGGGAAGTCCCACTACTGCCTGAAGAATTTCTAACTGATGAATCATCAAAGGAACCAAGAGGAGGGAGGTGGGACTGGTAACATGAGCTGGCTACCCATTCAGTACACTCAGGACATGTTCGTCATCTGTGCTCTGAGTTAAGAGTTGAAGATGTCCTCAAACAGGAAACAGGAACTTACGCATAGCCTAAAAATGGAGCAGACACTTTGAAGTAGGAAATGATGTCTAGTTTGTTTCTGGTTAAGTCACCAGTCATGATTCTGAAGTTTCAAATAAAAGTAGGTTTGTTGTCAGCTCTGAGAATATCAGAGCCTTTTTATTCATTGATTTATTCATTCGTTCAGCAAACAATTATTAGTGCCCAATATAGTGTCTGCTAGAGATAGTAGAACAACAACAACCATGAATAAGTTCGATTTCCTTAAGGAATATTCTGTGGGAAGGGGAGATACAAATAAGTCGATAGGAGGGGAAAAACCATGAAATGTGGTGACAGAGGGAGAGAGAACAGTGTGAGAGCTCCTTGCTGTCTCACTTTCACACGTATGTTCTGTCGAGCATACAACCCCTCTGCACTCTTTTGAATTCTACTCTTAGCCCCTAAACTCTCAGCCTCGATGTTCATTTTTCTAGTAACCTTTCCTGAACCCCCAAGTCTCAGCTGGTGCTTCTTCTGTAAGAATCCTTGACTATCCACATTACCACATGGGCACTTAGGACATGGTATTATATCTGCTTGTTCACACAGCCCTAGACAATCATCTACATGAGAGTTAGAGTCGTGTGTATGTGTTTCCCTCAGCACTATCTGTATGCCTACCTCTGTGTCTGACATCTAAATAATACTTGCTTGAAAGAATTAATTGAATAGTTAAGGATTAAATTCATTATTTCAAATACTCTATCTAAAAATCACATAACACATATTAGGACAATGTTTATTGTGAATTCTTGCAACTTATTTTATGAAGCACTTGAGTAAATGTAGTTATCTGGAAAATTCACTTGAATGGAAAACTCATTCCATGAAAATGCTGGGTAAATTGTGTTAAGCTAAATGAATTATTCATGCTTTCAGATTTGCAAACAGCAAATCAAGCAGCTGCTGAGACATTCTTTCAACCCTCAATTAACTATGGTGACCAATGGGGAAAATATGTAGTAATAGTTAAACCAAACCCATTGAAAATCTCCCAATGGAATCCGAACTCTCTTATTATGCCTTTTATCAGTGCTGTAGTACATTTGAAAAGTATCTTTTTTCTGTCTTCTCCATTTTCCTCTGGCGAATGTACTTATGAGTAAGAAAATAGTCAGAAGACAGACTCCAAAATATAGAGCTTGGCACGCAAACACAATATAAGCATACATAAAATACTAGGACAAAACGCCATTGATCTGGGAAGTCTAGAAAAATATAGGATTGTTGACCACAAGGTTACAATAATTATTAGTATAAGTAAGCTAGAGAAAGTTTTGTTGTAATAGTAAATCCTGTCCAGAAGGGCTCCAGAAGGAATCTTACTTCCATAATGATCAAGTTAGTAGAGTTTATAGTAACAGTAGAAATCACAAAGAGTTTATAATAAATGTAAAATCCCAAAACAACAAAAGTGAAAAAAACTCTATTGGATTCCCTGAAAAATTTGTGCCCAAATGTTTATAACAGCATTATTGATAGTAGACAAAAAGTGGAAATGATCCAAATATTCATCATCTGATAAATGGATAAACAAAAGGTGGTCTATCCACATAATGGCATATAATTTAGCAAAAAAAAAAGGAAACGAAGTACTGACATAAGCTATAATGTGGATGAACCTTAAAAATATATGCTAATGGAAGCCACAGAATACTACATATATCATTTCATTTGCATGAAATGATCAGAATAGGCAAATCTATAGGGGCAGAAAGTAGATTAGTGGTTTCTTAGGACTGGGGGTATGGGAGGATGGAGAGGTGATAGCTAAAGTGTAGGGATTTTTATTTTGAGGTGATGAAAATGCTTTAAAATTGACTGTGGTAATGATTACACATATCTGTGCCTATATTAAAAAACATTGAGTTGTACACTTTAAATGGGTGAAATTCACAGTATATGAATTATATATCTCAGTAAAACTGTTTCTCAAAAGCAACCTACAAGAAGCAGAATAAAAATGTATTTGCCAGGAGAAATTATACTTAAGTAATATTTTAGAATATTTTGCAGGAGCTATTAAGCATATGTAAATAAAGGATTAGTGAGCTGCTTTTATCCTCAAGAAGACACAGGGGAAAGTCCACATCAAGTGCTGTTGAAACCAAGTCCTCATGGGATTGGGAGAAAAATCTAGTCTGTCTTAGATTAAAAATGGCTTTGAAACACAAAACAAGAATAATGGTAAAAGTATAAAAAGCAGGATTCTTCTGGGATTATTGCTAAAACCTGCCTTGTTTCATTATTATTATTAGTATTATTACAATCTGAAGGGCTGTGATAAAGTGTTCCTTTTTTAAGTAAGGAAAAAACAAATCAATGGAGATAGAACACAAATATATTTCAACAAAATAATTGGTCTAGTATAATGAGAGCATTAAAAGTAGCCCAAGCCTATGACATAACCTTTTAGGAAATTCAATGGCTTACTTATCTGATATAAAGAAAAAACAAAAAGAAAGTAAGAAAGGAGGGAGGGAAGAAGGGAGCAAGGGAGAAAAGAAAGAAAGCTTTTTTTTTTTGAGTCTGGTCTCACTCTGTTGCCCAGACTGGAGTGCAGTGGCATGGATCATGGCTGACCACAGCCTCAACCTCCTGGATTCAGGTGATCCTTCCACTTCAGTCTCCTGAGTAGCTGGGATTAAAGAGGTATCCCACCATGTGCCCAGCTAATTATTTTTTATTTTATTTTTTAGAAACGGGGTCTTGCTATATTGCCTAGACTGGTCTCCAATTCCTGGGCTCAAGCATTACTCTAATCTTAGCCCCCAAAGTGTGGGATTACAGTGTGAACCACCATGTCCACCCTGGAAGGAAGAAATCTTATATGTTGATCTTGCAGGGGTTGAGTATGTGACCCTTCTCCTTTGGATATGTATGCATATTTATTATTGTGCCAGTCATGATAAATCATTAAAAAGAATATCTCAGAGTAGGAAAGTTCTCATTGTAGATAAAGATTTGGGATCTCTTTTAGCTGAAATGTACCTAAGTTCCAGCTTTTTTGTTGAACCTTTACACTTACATTAGTTTACATTAGTTTAATGTAGTAATCAATTCAAAAAAGAAATAAATAAATTGATAATATTTACCTCCTTTTTCTGACCTATTGTATAATACAATGTTCGATGTATCATCTTCAGTCCATCTAACTGGAATATTCCATGTGTAACTAAAATTTTTAAAAAGAAAAATATTTAACTTGTATTACTAAAAGATAACAAAACTTTCAAGAGTAGAAATATTCCAAAAGCAATAGACAAGCATATTTTCCTTATAACTGATTGTCTAGTGTATAGCATACAATTAATATAGTTAATACAATACACTTTAGTGACGAAGACAGGCAGTATAACTGCTCTCCGTTTTCATAAACATGTAAAATGTAAAAATTTGCATCAGAAAGTTAGCTAAGGACAAATAATATTATTTTTAAAATGCTTTAAGGTTTTAGAATAAAGATATTGTATAAATTGCATAAATATAACACATCATATTATAATATTGAGCAGTCACATGTATACTTGCACACATTCTAGTATATTATCATTTCCATCAAGGAACATAAAACATTATTAGAACTCAGAAGACAGTTTATAAACTCTGGGAAGGAAATAACACATTTTAGAAATCATGTTGAAAGTATAGCACCACCACCATGCCCCAAAGCTTCTCAGGCTCTCCTCTAAATACCTCCTCTTTAGAATCTGAACTGAAGTGCTGCCAAGGAAAAATCACTAGGTAAACATGGGGAGTTTTCCATTGTTCCCTTTAGCTACTTCGTATTTTCTTGCAGAGTGAGAGTGGGGAGAGTTAACATTGTATTTTCTTATAATATATACTTAATATTTTAGTCTGGAAATCTCATAAAAGAGGTCTAAAATGTCTTTTTGATGGTTTGTTCCTATGTCACCACATATCAGAAAATGCAGGCAATCTAGAGAGAAGGTGAATCTATGTATCATTGACTGGTTTAGGTTTCAACTTAAGGTTGGTTTGTCTGTCAACATCTAATTCCCTAACAGAGAATTAGGGTTGACATTTCTCCTTTTCAAGACACAATCAGATTTCTGTCATTCAAGGAGAATATATTTTTGCTATATACATGAAAGAAGTAATCCCTTGTTTTATAACTATCAAAGTGTTTTATATGATTTAGTTTACTAGCTTTTTTGGAGTATTTTATTGCGGTGGAATGTCTTTGGCTATAAGTTTCATAAAACCAATCCATAAATTATCTTTTGGGCCCTACAGTGGACACTCTGTGTGCTTCACTCTTATCTCCCAGAATCCCTTTGTCACTTTTGTACATCCAGGACCCAGCATGCTTTCCCCACTCACAACCAACACTGGGTTAGAAAAAGTCAAAAGTTCCTGGGCATTCCATTCTTCTGGATGTGACCCTTAGCAAGGACTGGAAGGTGTGAGAATGTGTCTTGCCCCATCTATCAGAAACACTCTGAAGAAGGATCTGCACTTGCTCCTGGACAACCCCACAAGACAGAGACGAAGGTAACCTCTTCAGGACCTGCCTCACATTGCACCTTTCCTGGGCTTCCCTCCCTTCCCTATCTTACTGTCTGCTTCGCTGCCCAACTTTCCTAAGAACATTTCCTAATGATGTCCGTTCACATGCATGATCACCTGCTTTTAGGGAAGCCAATCTAAGAGCCCTTGCAGCTTCTCAGAAGACAACAAAGAAGCATTTTTAAAAGACCACATCCTATCTAATACGTCACTCTTTCACTGCTCTGCTGGTTCGGTGCTACTACGTAGACTAGCACTGTTTCCTTCTTCATCTTTCTGACTGAAACAATCTGTCTGGCAGGCAGTGTCTGGGTGACCTCTGTGCCCAGTCAAGAGTTCACATTGGCTTTCCCCTCTAAACCACAGTCTCTGGGACTATATCTAGCCTAAAAGTGGGCAGAAGATATACTACTAAGGTCATGTACAAAAATACGACCCTGAGGTCTTTAAGAGTATCGTAAGATTAAAATGATAGAAGATTGAGCCTACATAATTTTTTTTGTTTTAGAATCATAGGATCTAATCTAAGCTGAGTAAAATAACAGATTGGAGAGTATAAAATGTGAAGAAATGAAAATTACATAAATGAAATTATTGAGTCTCCTATACGTTATCTAAAATTCAGAAGTATCAGAATTCATTTTTATAGATATTCACTATCTAACCGTACAACAGGCTCTAGCAGTACTAAACATGGCCGACCTAATTTTGTCTAAGGAACCTGACTTTGATTGCCCCAAGATGACACATCTACTCCCATTCTTCTGCTTGTTTACATAGAGCAGGCATGTAAGCAAACCCTGTAGAGACATCCCCCGATAGATATGTGGAACTAGTACATTTCTAAGAGAGGGTTGAGGTTCTGGTGTTAAGACAATAACTTATACATGGGTGGAGCATTTGAATTATAAAAAGATTCTAGTCAGTAAGAATTCCCTAATCTTGGATTATTTAATCAGTGAGAAAATATTAAGAGGAGACCATTCAACTTACAGAGCAACTTAGCTGACCACATTGCCTGCCAGACAGGAACATATCTGAACAGAGAGCAGGTGAACATCAGGGTTGAAGAAAGGACTAATTCCTTTCTGGGTGCATAAAGGCATTTATAATAATAAAAAAATTTTAGTAATATATCTATAAGTCTAAACAAAATAAAAAACAGTATCTGAAGGTAGAAACTAAAGACAAATAATACAGAAAAGTATAAATGTTAATATAGTTTTAAGTCTTGGTGAATAAAATTTAAAGATTCATTGTAACAAAAAGTGATTTTGTACCTTGATGATGTATTTGGTTCACTTGGCTATAAAACATTTTTGTTTGTGTGGAGAGAAATCCATAACCAAGGAATAGTTTTTTTGGTGTTTTTCATTTTTTTGTTTTTGGAGTTGGAGTCTCACTCTGTTGCCCAGGCTGGAGTGCAGTGGCACACTCACAGCCACCCAAGCGTCGACCTGTGGGCTCCAGCAATCCATCTTCTCCACCTTTCATGTAGGTAAAATTACAGGTGTGCGCTACCACACTCAGCTAACTTTTTATTTATTGTGGAGATGAGGTCTTGCCAAGTTGCCCAGGCTGATCTCGAACCTGTGGGCTCAGGCAATCCACTCACCTCAGCCTCCCAAATTGCTGGAAGTACAGGCTGAGCCACTGAGCCTGGCCAGGAATAGTTTTTGAAAAAGCTGGTTCCATTGTTTTCTAAACATTGTTAACTGTCTTTGGCTTAACAAATCAGTGAATACATATAACAAGAGGGAACAATTTCTAGGAAACTTTCCCAAAAGAATCATGTTTTGCAAGAGAGAAATATTTTTTAAAAATTTAATAGCCAAAGGCTCTAGCAGTATTAAATATAGTTAATCTAATTTACTAGAACATAAAACAGTTACTATAAAAGAAACTTATAGTTTGTTATAGTTGTTAGCAGAACAATCACAGAAACTATTGTGTTGATTTTTATAATTGAATTATTACCTGAAAACAAGTCAGATCTATGTTTTAATTCATGCATCATAAAGAGAAAATAGTGAAAAACAAAGGAGGTTTTCTCCATCATAATCTTTTCTTTTTAAGATAAAGTAAAGGCAAAGAAGTATATGCAAATACTCCTTAAGTAACCTCCTACTGGTCTAAGTAGTCAATCTTTCCTTTGTTCTGGAGTAAGCTATTGATTTTCAGAACTTGCAAGGTATCTGGTTTCCTTACATTTAAATTACTATAGGAGGACTGAGTGTCTGAGATTTCCAGGAGAGACCAATAATAGGTCTCAACAAAGTGAGTACAACTGGCTTTCTGGTTACTTCTCCAGTTCAGGGACCAACCGGCGTCATAGAAGTAGCTAATTTAATAATTCTGAGTGCTCTTCATTCTCTGATGCCTTAGACAGCAAAGTACTTCAGCAATTTTAATTTGTGAAAATGCCTGAGTGTGCTGTTAGTGTAATTTCATTCCCAGCACCCTGAATTGTAAGCCAGAAAACAGATTCTGTTACCTACCTCATAGAGAACACTTCACAAAGCGTGTCTATGAAGATCTCAGTTCTCTACAAATAAGGCTATGGCCACTATAGTACAAGATGAGAATAATGTTCTACAAGGAGATTGTTCTCTGCCAATTCATCTGACTGACTTCCTTGCACATTATTTAATCTTTAATTAGATAGTTTAGTTCAACCAAATCTTTGGAACATCTACCACACCCTCCAGCCTACGGCCACTGTCCTTGTCTAGGCTCATCGTTTCCAACAGTTCTCACATGGGTTGCTTGCTACAGTGTCATCCTAACTGGTCTCTCTGCTTCTACTCTTGTCCTCTACTGGTTGATGGTCTATGATCTGTTCCCCACAGTGCAGCTCAAGGGGAACTTTCAATAATGGAAACATCCTGCCAATTCTCTCCTCAAAGTTCTTGAATTTGCATACTATCATCCAGAATCTTTAACATGGTCTGCATACCTGGTCTCTGCCTTTCTCTTTACCTTCACTTTCACCTCTCACCCCTTTTGCAGTCACCTCTGCTACCCACTATCTAGGAGCCTGACTGCCTGGGCTCAAATCAAGTCTCCATTATTTACACTGTATGAGCTTGAACAAGTTATTTAATCACACTCTGCTTCAATGTTCTCATCTGTTATAAAATCAAATACTTCCGAAATGCATAAAATTGTACCAGCCACTAAGTCAGTGTTCAATAAGTGTGGTGTATTATGCATACAAGACTCCTTTAGACTTTGGAACTTTCATACATGTTGCAGTTTCCGTTTTGAACTTCTCAGTTGGTGAGATGGAGCAGGGACCTATCTCAGGGGCCTGCCAGGCACCGCCACACCAAAGAATGAGAATAAAGGAAAATCCTGAATTTTTTCAAGGGAAATTCTAGACACCTAGCTGTCCCTAAGAACTAAATTAGCAACTTGATAAGTAAGAAAGTAATAGTAACTTAAACCAACAACCAAGGAAGTTAGAGTCACAAGATGTTTTGTTCCCCACAGAAACTAAAGATACCATCTTAACATATGTCCTTAAGTTGTTTTTCAGAAACCTGGACCCTTCCCTCCCACTGCCCAATCAAACAGATCCACCAGCACATAGACCTCAGATAGGGGGAACTGAGGACTAAACTCTGACCACCATTCTTTGTTCTA